TGTGGTTGTAATGTGACAAAATATGGAAAAGTTCAAGGGGTATGAATACTTTTGCAAACCACTGTATATATGGTCACATTTTAATCCAATAATGATTATTATTTCATTTATACTAGCGAAGCTTCTTTTATTGAAATATGTTTTGATCGGCCCACGTCTTCCTCGCTCGTCTCTGTGGTTTTTCTCCTCTGCTCGAAACTCCTGTAGGCGCAGGAACTACAGAGGCCCTGTTTACAGACACACATGGATACAAAACAGATACCACCTGATCAAATAACTGAGGAAGAGAGATAGCACCATGTAAATCTCTGTCAGTGCAGAATAAACATGTTGGGCTTCGTTCAGGCGCTGCTCGTTTATCTGCCTGCCTTTTATAATCTCCTACTGGAACAAGAGAGACGAGCTTTGCCTCCACAGAAGCAACATATTCTTCGTGAATCTATTTTAAAATGTTCCTTTTTTATGTTGACATGTTTTATGCTCTGTAGACTCTTTTTGTGGCCCCGTTTGAACCGACGAGTGGTCGCTGAAATCATTTTTTGCAAAATGAATCACAATGASGAACTTTTTGATATTGCGTAATGATAATGTTTTTAAATTCTCCAGCATAAAACCTTTAAAATGATCAATAGTTTTGGTTAAATGTGATTTATTACCAGGCTAGTTTTGTTTAGGAGTGTGCCGGTTTGAAAACTCCGTTTTTGTTCCTCCATACGTCACAATGAAGCCATTACACGAAGGGATTTTCTGGCAGAGGAAAATGATCGATTTCAAAGAAAACTAAAAGAATTATAATCGAATGGATTATTTTCTCTGCTATTTTAGTTTCTTTGAAGATATTTTTACACAAATCCCAGCAAAAATCCATATTTTCTCTTCTTTTTTTTTTACGCTGCAGCTGGTGCTCGGGCTGAATCATTCTTCAAACTCTGGTCATATTTAAAGTTCACAGTGCCGAAATTCTTCCACGGCCTCTTATATGTGAAGATTTACAGAAAACAAAGAAAAAAAACAACATCTGTTAACTGAGCTGAGTCAACGCCGTGCGTCATCAGCCACATGAGTTAAGAGAAAGGAGTCCATGTTTCACAATAATGCGTTACGTTCATCATCAGTGATTACAGTTGAAGATAAGTTTAATTTCAAACAGGCACCGTCGGTTCATTTTCAGCATTCCCACTTTAATTCTTATCTGTGTATAAATCTGTCTCTGCTGCTGCATCTCGTCGTGCAGCTTTGACATGAAACACAAATTGTCCAACAAGACGTGCAGCTAATTTGGGAGCTGGGTGGTATGTCTGTCCTAAAGAAGCWGCAGAGTTTAAATAGAAGTCGGTCCATTCCTGCCGTGACAAACAGCGACATGTCTGTTCTCTCTATGCCTGCTTTGCCAGTTTCTTCCTCCTGTGATTTCAAAGTATTTATTACCCCCTCACATTTTCTCACATCTTGTCTTCGGACTGGTTCAGACATGTGGGCAACCAGACAGAGCAGCTTTAAGGTGTAAAAATCTAATTTCCATCGAGTTACTGAAGAAAATATTCAACCAGAACGTTGAGAGGTGTGTTTGTTTTGAAAGTCTATTCTGTTTTTTCCCCCATGTTATTCACATTTTTGTTATTTTATTTTACTTCAATRCATTTAAAATGACTTTATTTGCTTTCTGTAAGCTTAGTTTAATACAGTATTTATAGATTTGTCACATTTTAATAATGCCAATCCTTAAAGTAGGCTTATTATTATAGATCAGYTTTACTGGAACTTTATTACAGTAAAATCTGGAATATTACTGTACAGTTTTAGAATTAAAAAAATGTATTTTTTCATGTTTCTTCCTGCTAACTGCTTTGGTGACTCCATAATCCCTCAGAAAGTGTGTGCGTGGTATAAAAAGTGTTAGTGTGCTTTAAAAAACCACAAATGAGTTTTTCTAGTTTTAGAACTCCAACTTCATGTGTTGCTTGAAGTAAAATAAGACGAGTGTTAATTGGAAAGGTTTGGAGATTAATCTCTCAATTTGGGAAATAATGAATGAATATATAATCTGCCTTTACTATAACAGGACATTGGATCTTAGATATATATTTTAAAGATATGTTTCRCAAAGTCAAAGACCAGAATAAGATCAATAAATAAAGTAGGAAACAAAATTGCACAATATTCTAATGTCTATGGTTAACGTGTCCTAAATAAAAAATTTGTTAGTAAAATTTATGACAGGATACCAACATAGTGTTTGTTTCTCTACAGAAACGACTGTAAATAGATCAAACATTGACCTTACAGTCTCTCTGAGTGCTTTGTTTACATTGAGTAAATACCCTCATTTCAGAATTGGTATAAATATWTCTGGAAACCTTTCAAATGCACAGTTTGCACATTTTAATCTTTAGCGGGGAACAAATGGGCCTTAAATGTTTTTATAAATTAAAATAATGTTTTAATTACACTCAAATTACTGATGTAAACCAGGGGTGAGCAATCCTGGTCCTCGGGGGACACCTTATATGTTTTTTAAAGCTCTGCAGAAGCCTGTWAATCACATTCGTTCAGATCAGGTGCGTTTGAGCAGAGAAACCTTTAAAACATGCAGGATAGTGGCCCTCAAGGACCAGGATCGCCCACCCTTGCTGTAAACCAAGTACCTCGCTGAAAAACAGAACAGCTGTAACCAATTATTAATCACTTAAGATGTTAACACCTAACACTATCTTTAGCCTTCTTTAGATGAAGTTTCCTTTCTGATAGCCATAAATGTTCAGCCACTTCTTTCTCTCTYTTTTTTGCATCAATCATCGCTGCAAAAACCAGCTGTAAAGTTGTAAAGATTTCCTCTCTGYGTGGATCTTTAAACACTAGAGGGCTCTCCTTACATGATAATTACACGGATCTATCAGTTAAAGTGATTTCTGAAAATAATTCACTTAAATGGTCAATTCTAATCTCTAGTGGGATTGTGTTTAAATGCAGTATTTAGAGGAGTATCTCCCTATTCTGTGAACTGAAGTTGTCAAAATAAAAGTAGTCAGATTCTTTAATCTYAATGTACTTTTGTTTGTTCTGTGTAAACGTTTACGTTTTTGCTTCGTGAATTTGGCGGTTGATGTAGGAAGCTGCTGTTTTTCAGAGGAAGCTGTTGCATTGAAAAGTGTTTGTTGTTGACATGCAATCACATGGCGTCCCCTTCTGGGCCCGTGAATTAATTCATTAGCCCGGGTCCAGGTCCCTGGCCTCTCCTGCTGTTCAACCACGGGGGAAAACACCGCAGAGACACAGAGACTACTGTTTCYTCTTGTTCGGCCCTGAGGGTCCCTCTTTATACCTACAAACGAGCTCAGTAAACTGCTTCAGAGAAGTCGGCGAACTGCTTAATTCACTGCTTTTGTTTTGTTTGCCAACAACACAGTCAGCTTCACTGCAGCCRGAAAATACTGACGTTTAAAGGGGGCTTTCGAGACCGTCACGGGTATTTGTGCATAAAAGCCTGAGATCATGTTGACTGATTAGTTTCGGTTGTTCCTGTTGGGTTTTGAGTTGATTTAAAGGGAGTTTTAGTTCATGCKTTGAAATAAACTCCTTTCAGGGGATGAAGAGGGCAGAAAGCTGAATTAAACATCTCTTATTGCATCAAAGTTACATGTTGCATGAACAGGCTCTGCTAAGATGACTGTTGATGTCAGCTTTGAATGGGTTTGTTTGTTGGCATCGGCGTAAATCTCCTCGTGCCGTCACAGGACGGCTCCGAGTTGACGGCACCGTCCCTCAGCAGAGACAATGATCCGTGGAAGTAACATGTTCCAAGTAAAGGAATTTCCCACTTCTGATTTCTGATAAAGAACTACAGACGGCTTTATCTTCCTGGCAAAGTCTGTCAGAAATAGGACCTTCGTTTCCCGTCTTCCAGCTCGGCCTGTTAAATCATTAAGCTTTCAAAGCGTTTCACCTCTACCTGTCCCTCTGATGAATCGTAGATTTCAAGAGGTCACCAAAACAAAAAGTCTGCATGGAAACCTTTATCTTTGCTTTGTTTTTGTTTAGCTGCTAATAACTCACTTCTTGTCGGCCTGCATGTGAGGAAACGCCTGAAACTTTGTGTACTCTTCATTTGACATACCTCCCCTTTTCCCTCTCCACAAGGATTTCCTTCTCA